GAGCCACCCCTTGACTCTGCAGTCAGTCTGGGCCACCTATCACAGCACCCTAGGTCAGCTGGGCTAGAGGAACAGCCTAGTGGGAGGACAGCCAGGACCGGAGACCACACTGTCACCTGATCACCGAGTGCTTGCCCACCAGACGGGTCTCACCAGCCATCCCTTATCTTCTCAGCTCTGCTGTTGCAGAGGTTATTTCGAAGCAGCAAAGTTCAGTGTTTGTGGAGAGGGCTCATCATACTTTTCAAACCAACATCAGTAGAAAAAGAAATAGTGTAGTTCAAAGGTGAATGTCAAGTTGGAGCCAGAGGCATGCATTTCTGTCTTTGCCAGAGTCCTTAGACCTCCGCTTTCCTGCCCCATCCCTCCCTCAGTTCCAGCCCACCTCTACTTTGTGGCTTAATCCCCTCATCACACCTCCCACTTGCCTGGGGAGAACATCTGATTGGTCTAGCGTGGGACATGTTCTTGACAACCCCACTGAGACTATATATAGTAGAGACCCCAAAGGGGCTCTGTTACAACCAGAGGAGGAGTTGGGCATAGACACAGGGGTGGCCAAGCCAGAAGATGTGCACTACAGGGGAGGACCTCCAACAAGGTTCCAAATGCTTTTCAGCCTTTCCATCCCATGCTCTTTTGGGCTCGAGTGCCTTGTTTACAACATTTTCGATACGCTTGGCTTTGCAAAGATTCTAGCAGCTGGAGAGCCAGTCATGGAAGTGTTTTGAGGGTGGTGAGAGCCCACACGGGCTACTCTCAAACATCAGCAGCCTTAAACACAGACCTCAACGTGGATAGCCTAGGTCCAATCCTGGCTTGGCAATCAAGTGGCCCAGGTGGCTTCAAGAATGTGATTTCACCTCTGAAGTCCTCAGTTTTCTCATCTGTAAAACTGTAAAATAAGGACTGAGCGTGCAGCTCAGGGTGGACCGTTTGCCTACTTGCCTAGCATGCTCAAGGTCCTGGCTTCTATCTCTAGCACCTCAAAAAGGAAAAAAACCCCAGTAATAACAGTACCTACTTCATTGAAAATCCTGCTGTGCTAAGTGCTTGACCTACATCAAGCACTTTTTGCCCATCTAGTGCATATGGGAAAATAACACTCCTCTCTGTGCAGATAGAGCGCCATGGTGAGGTGCACCACAACCTTGGCTCGTTCTCTGAGCTAGGTACCCTTGTGGACAGCCTGAGCAACTGTATACACCAGCCCTGCCTACGAGGCAGGTATTTGTATGCCCCCATTTTCCCATGAAGCAACTGTGTCTTAGAGAAGCTGAGTACCATGGAATGGTTATGGATGGTGAGATCACTTCTAATAAACTTGTTTATGTAAAGCACGCTAAAGAGATCAGCCAAGTCCTTTGTGACCCTCCCACCACCTGTGTTGTGGACTGTATCTCTTTGTCACCAACTCACCAGTTTAAACCTTATCCATCTTCCATGGAGGATAGCAACCAAATACCTCCCTGACATCTAATTTATAGATCACCACCAATCTGTATTTGCTAATCTATTATTTCGATAATCATTTAAAAAACTAAGACATGTTATTCTGAAAGGTGGTGGGGCAGAAAAAGGGCAGATTTCCATTCAAATATTGTCTTGATTTGGAAATTTCTTTTTTCAGCAGTCTATTCAATACCTAGACACCAAAGACTAAAAATATTGTGAGTCTCAGTGAATTCTTCTTCTAAAGCAGAAAGATCAGCATCACCAAGAGATAGCTCAATATTAGGGAAAGCAGAGTCCAACTTCTGGTTTTTTTCCTTTCTTTTCTTGGGTTCCCAGGAGTATTTCATAGCTGGGTGATGCTCAGTGGGACAGATTAACTAAAGGTCCCCATCCTTCGTTTGTAAACCCTTCCATTATTTCTCTGATGAGTAGGCAGCAACCTCTACCTGCTGTGTCACTGTGATTTGGAGATCTGTCATATAATTTCACACAGTGAGAAGGAAAATGACCTGGATATATATACTGTTTGTGTGTTTCCTTTGTTAATCTGTAGTTCATGGACTAACACTTTTTGTTGAGACAGATTCTTGCTATGTAGTCCAGACTGCCCTTGAACTCACTGTGTAGCCCAGGTTGGCCTTGAAATCACAGTGATCTTCCTAACTAACCTTTTCTGAGTTTGGGGGTGGTAGCCATGCTTCACCACTCCTAGCTGGATTGTACACTTTCAGAGGCAAATCACTGGAGCCTAGTATGATGGTACGAGCCTGTAATTCTAGCTACTAGGGAGGCTGAAGCAGGAAGATTGCAAGTTTGAGGCCAGCCTGGGCAATTTAGAAAGAGCTGTCTCCAAATTAAATAAAAAGGGTTGGGGATGCAGCTCAGCAGCTACGTGAGGCCAGCCAGGGCTAGCCTATGCAAGGCCCTATGTTAAATCTCCAGTACTTAAAAAAAAAAAAGGCTGATCACTGGGTAAATTGAGGTAGTTTGGGGAATTTATTTATTCATAGACTACTGAATGTAATAATTGAGGAAGCCTGCCAGTTATTCCCTGATTTACCTCTCTGTAAGCTTCTGTCTTAAATGGTCCTCTGTGAAAGTGCAGTTCAGATTTGAAACAGCTGCAGCAGAGCCAGCCACCTTGGATGGTGTGACCATCCCTGAGCAGCATGAAGGAAAATTAGCACATACTGAAAGGGAAAGGCTTGGAACCACTGTTTTCCCAGCAAACCTCCCACCTGAATAGCTCCCAGGGGACACCAAAATGAAAGCCAATAACAAAGAATGGACTTGGCCCACACACCTTCGAAAGGCCGAATGCAGTTAGCATGAACTATCATCTGCTCAAGCAGATTAGATATTTTAACAGCAATTCTCAGGCCTCAGAAGTGAGCCTAGCGCAGCTGCTGCCAGATAATCAGCAGTGTCATATTTAACTTTTAGACTTGCCTGTTAAATTTGGCCCAGTGTGAGTTTGTGTTCAATTAGATCTATGAAAGTAGAGGAGGCTTCCTGGGGGGAAGTCCTGGGTTCTAGCTCAGTGACTTATAGGCTGTGTGACCTTGGACAAGCTATTTCACACCATCAAGAATCAGTTTCCTCATCTGTACAATGAGGGAAATGGGCCCTACTCTCTTGCCTGCTAAGAAGTTGTGAAGATCAGATGAGGTGCAGTTTGGGAACTATGGAGGCTCTATACGAGTTCACAGGCACAACCCCGAATTATGTCTGCCTTTCTCACTTAATTCACCATCTACCCCTCATTCTTGCAGCAAGAACCTTTTGACAGTGTAATTTTTTGTTTGTTTGTTTGTTTGTGGTACCGGAGAACAGACTCAGGACCTTGTACTTGCAAGGCAGGCGTGGTACTGCTGAGCTAAATCCCCAGCCCAAGAGTGTCATTTTTAGAACTAGAATTAAAATGTGTTTAGTTGCCCTCTTTATCCTCCAAGTCCTCTGAAATGAGGAAAGAAATTGGAATTATGAAGAAAGTTAGGACCAGGGATGTGGTAGCCCAACAGCACAGAAAATTCTCACCCTGATAGTCTTCTTTCTTTGATGACACCAAAATCTCAATTCAAAGCCAAAGATTAGGGTAAAAAGTTAGGCCCCATTTTCCCCAATTTCTCCTTCCCCTCTGCCTCTCCTCCCTCAGGTGAAATGCTGAATTCATGGGTTGCTATTCCAAGCCACACTGGGTACACCTTGCACCTCTACGTGCTGGACATGCAATATGTGTATGGCGAATACTTCTAAGAAAGAAAAAGTAAAAAAACTAAATAATTCTCTTCTCATCCTAAATGTCTGCAATCACAGAATGAGAAACACATGTTCACCATACTTCAACCTGAGATGCCACTGCTTCTAAGACATACCATGTTTTATATAACACAAAGAAAGAAAAAGCTCTATCAGTTAAAATATGACATAGTATTTCCTTATTATGTCAATTGCAAGACACACTTTGACTTTATAGATGTTAAATGTGAAAAAATGTGCTAATCTTAGTATACATGAGATGCAATATTTTTACCTCTTATAAAAGGCAAAGCTTTCTTTTCTTGATCCTGATGGAATAAATTAGCAAACTACAAACTGTCTTACATTTAGTCTCAGCTCCTTGCAGTTATACACATTATACAATCATGCTTCCATGTGGGCAGAAGGGGGATGTTGATTCTGTTTTTCTTGTGGATACGCTTATACAAAGTATGGGCATGACTACAGTTCCAGGTAAGTGCAGTTTGTAAAATACCTGTCAGAGCAAAAATCATCAATTCTGCGGTCTGTTGTTCATTACAGGATTTAAGAATAAGAAATGTTTAAGAGCATTTGGCACATCAGTTGTGCTTTCTTTCTCCCCAGCAGTGCCTTTTGTTGTTTTATTTAATGCTTGATTTGGCTGTTTTGTTGTTGTTATTCAGTGTATTTTAGTTCCGCTAAAGCAACTGTACAGCGTGTTCCCTCTTGCACTTGAACAGGCTCATGTGATGGGTACACATCACCTGCCTGAGCTAAATATGACATATACATAATGCAAGTGGGAATTTGTCATCTTTCTGGGCAGAAAGGAATGAAAGGAATACAGAGAACTAGAAAAAAATACAACTTCTGTATTTCTGACAATCCCTTGTAAATTTTTTGTGGACCAGCCCTTCCATTTAGAATGCCCTTCCCTTCAGAATGTCCTTGCTCATAGCTTCTACAGTTTAAGACAAGAAAAACTCTCCCTGTTTCTAGCCTCTTCTTACCTTATCCCTGTGCTCCCTCAAGGCATTATTTATATGCAACAGCAGAGAGTCAAGCAAAAAGAAATGTGTTTCAAGGGACTAGAGCTGGATGAGTGAAAAGAAATGAGCCAAATTACTGTAGTCCTCAGGCTTGCTTTGTAGAGATGTGGGCAGGATAACTCCTGCTTCCTTCCAGGAGTCACCGGGTGGCTACTGTGATGACGAGTGTCAGTCGGTGCCTGTGTGCTGGGCAGGGTGTTGTTCATGTTTGATTACTGCTGACACACCTTTCTCCCACTGTTCTTTGCCCTGCAGTCGGAGTACCACTATGAGTACACCACGTGCGACAGCACGGGATCCAGGTGGAGGGTCGCTGTGCCACACACCCCGGGTCTATGCACCAGTCTCCCTGATCCCGTCAAGGGCACCGAGTGCTGTAAGCAGCCTTCTAGCTTCAGGGCCTCCCTGCCACTCAGCTCTGGCCTCTACCCCAAACCTCCTGCCATCCAAGTTCAGCTCTCCCTGACAGCACAGCTGCCTTAAGGAATCAGGTCATTCTCCCAGTTAGTCCCCATCCCCAGCACTTGTGAAATATGGTGCAGAAATGTTATTGCACAGGTGTAAACTTGGTATCTAAATTTGCTTTTATTTATATCCCATCGGTGGATACAGCATAAGCAATTCCAGTTCTGTGCCACTCAGATTTGTTGTCTTTTTGTTTGCATTTGTTTTCATTTTTGCTTGTGCATTTACCTCCAATCTGCACTCACCAGCCACAGTCACTCATTAGTCACCCCCGGGAGCCACGTCCTCCTCTCTGGAGAGCACCCTGAACGGCCTCAGCTCTGCTCCAAGGGAGACAAGGTCATCAGGGATGAGCAGCAAGGCAGAGCCTGCCTGGCCCTAAATTTTTTTTTATAACAGCTTTATTTGAGATACAGTTGACATGCTATAAACTTCACCCCTGACAGGGTAAATTTCAATGGCTTTTTCAGAATATTCACAACAACCATCACCCCTCAAATTTCACATTTTAATCGGCCTGAAAAGAAACCTCCTATCATTAGCAGTGTCTCCCCAGGCCTTTGGCAATCACAGATCCACTTTCTGCCTGTATGGTTTTTCCACTTCTGCATGTTCTATATAAATTGTACCACTGGAGACACGCCATGGCCTTAAATCTTAATGGACCAAACTGAGCTGAGCCTCTCCCCTCAGACTGCCTTCACCTGACCACTTCTTCAGGGGCCACAGTGACCTCACCACCCCTCCCTTGTCCCTACCCTGTGTTCCAGCTTTCTCTTGCAATGCTGGGGAGTTTCTGGATATGAAGGACCAGTCCTGTAAGCCGTGTCCTAAGGGCTGCTACTCCCTCGGCACAGGCATCCGTTTTGATGAGTGGGATGAGCTGCCCCATGGCTTTGCCAGCCTCTCCGACAACGTGGGGCTTGAGGACAGTGCCACGGAGTCCACTGAGAACTGCACTTCGTGAGTTTCCACAGGCATCCCCTGTCCCTGAGCATCTGGGACGGCACCTGTGGTGCTTCTCAGGCTGGGCAGGGAGGATGGGGAAGTGGAAGCAACACTTCAGGGAGAGGGCTTCTGAACAGTCCCTCCCAGGACTGCTAGATGTGGCTGCCACCTCAGTTTACTCTTACCTAAGCTTATCAGTGACTGGCAGGCATGTGTAAGAGCCTGGAGAAATAGAAGGGAGGGGCTGTATAAACAGGACAAGGGTTAAATGATCCATTTTATTTTTTAAAAATTCAATTGGATATCCACCATGGAATTTTGGATCAGCCAATAGACTTCCTCAGCTTGATTGAAGGCCAATATGCAAGGTATTAGGTGTCTTCCTGGCTTTGATGCTAGTTCTACAACTTGTTCCACATAACCTAAATTATGGGTTTTGTGTGGAGATAGAGTAAGACTTGAGGATTGGTCCATGGTAGCTGAGATCTTCCAACTCGGTTGAGAATCCAATGGCCAGAAAAATTTGCAGCTCAGATGGAGAACTTTGCCAGTAACCGAAAAGCCCAGGGTGCTTGGACAACGGGGTATTTATTTCAGATGCACCTTTTATGTGCCCAGCTAGAAACTTTACATATATTATCTTCTATAATCTACACAAGAATCCTGTGAAACAGGTATTATGGTTCCCATTACAAAGGGGAGAAACTGGAGGCTCAGTGAGGTTAGGCCATCTGCCTTCAGTACCTAGCTTACAACTAGCGAGACTAGAATTCAAACCCAGTCCCAAGTTTTTAATGCCCCATATGGCCACCTTCAAACAATATTATGTCCAAGGCAATTATACATTGCTTTTTGTTAGATATTGACAATGAGTACAGAAGGAAAGAAAAAGCAAATGGATAAAAAAGGCTGAAGGGCCGGGGATTTAGCTCAGTGGTTCCACTGCCTGCCTTGCAAGTGCAAGGTCCCGAGTTCGATCCCAGTACCAAAAAAAAAAAAAAAGGCTGGAGAATTTTATTACACTTGAACTTGGAAAGCTAGGAGCAATTCTCCCATTCCTATACCTAAATCTCCTAGAAGTAGCAATGTCTGAGCCATGTAGCAGACATTCGACAGTCCAGTTATAATGTTATTTTACAATTCAGTTATGTGTTATAATCATTGGTATGTTAAAGCTAGAGAGGGTACAAGTCAGAGGAGAGGAAATGTGTGGGTTAAGACAACCCCCATTTGGGTGCTAATTATGAATGTCATTTGACCCCAGACAAGGTGCAGATCTGGCTGACTCAATCAATTCCAACCTGTACAAAGGAAGGGTTTCACCTCTCTTCAGGGGCTGTGCTGCGAGCCCAGAAACCATTATATCTCAGTGAGGCAGGATGTAGGCCTATTAATAACAGCTTGTGTTTCCACAGCACAGGCTGGCTCAGAGCTTGTATCTTGAAGCATCCAACAACATCCCTGGGAAGGGGAGAGATGTTTCTCCTCTGTAGAAACAGAGAGGAAATGGCCACCTGGAGAGATTTTGAAAGGCAATAGTTGTGCTGGTACCCAGAGCCCAGATGTCTGGCTTTTGGGTTCAACCTGAATCCAGCCTCACTGCCTCCAGCCTCACTACTTCAGGCCCGACCCCAGCCAGCTTTGCCTTCTTTGCCTCAAGATTTCCCAGCTGGTTTCCTGCTTCCACTCCCTGACTCCTCCAGGCCACACCCACCTGAAAGCCAGCTTGATCTGAAAATGACTAATCACAATACTTGCCTGCTCAAAACCCTGGGCTCTGTGGATATCCACTACTCTTGGGATAAAATGCAGTACCTTCTCACAGCCTGCAGCCTGCCCTCTGCCCTCTGTCCTCTGCTCTCTGTCCTCTGCCCTCTGCCCTCTGCCCTCTGCTTTCCTTCTTGCCTACCCTGCTGCAGCCATACTAGCTGCCTGGCTCCCTCCCTCCCCAGGGTCTTTGAACAGCTTCTCTCCATCCCTTTCCTAGATGACCCCTCCTTACCCCTCAGGTCTCTGTTGTATATTACCAGGGAAGAAAGAGTAGAAGACTAAATACTGTGGCTATGAAACAAGAATGCAGAAAAGATGAATGCAGACAGTAAAGAGACATAAATGTTTAAAATAAAAAATAATGCAGTTCACTGTTGAATGATCTGCAGCAAGTTTCCTGATCACCTCTGTTCTCAGTTTCCTTATCCTAAAAAAATGAGAAAAATAGTGCTCTTTTTAAAGATGTGTTAAGGATTGACATGATACATTCAAAGAAATTAGATATCTTCCCCTGGCACTAGAAACCAACTAAAACTGCTATACTGAATGTGAATTGTCTTCACTGGAGTCAACTCTGACAAAAATCAGAATTATGATGCATTTTGCAAATGTAACCCACTTATGGCAGCCTTTTAATTATTCATTAAACTTCAGGAGTTATTTATAGCTTAATGCTGTAGAATACATCAGCATTAAATGTCTCTTTCAACAAGGAGAATCAATGCCATTAGGTTAGCTGGGGCATTTTGGATGAGCTCAGTTTATATTTTACTTAGGAGGATAATACTGAGGTCTCTGCCCTCACCACATCTAGGCCAGCCAGGAGGACAGACAACTGAAGAGAGGAATTCAAATAAAGTATGGTCAGAAGAGGAAACCCAGATGGCAAACAAGCTTCACAAAAGATGCTCAGCTTCACTAGTTATCAAGGAAATAAGATTTGAAGCCCAATTAGACACTCATTTCCTACCACTTCATATTGGCAACAATTTTAAAGTTGGACAGTTCCAAATCTGGAGAGGATGTAGGGCAACAGGCACTCTCTTACCCTGTTGGTGAGTGTGAATTGATATAACCTCTTCGGGGAAGAAGGCAGCAAAACCTGGTAAAGTTGGAGATTTACATACTTCTGGGCCAGCAGCTCAACTGCCAAGCATTTTCTCAGCAGGGACAGAAATATAGAAATAAGAATATTTATAACAGAGTGTCCACAATAGCAAAAAATGGGAACAATCTACATGTTCATCAACAATAAATAAATATGAGAAAGCAATACAGAGGGATATTATACAGTAGTAAAAATAAAAGGAAGGGCAGGGGATGTCACTCAGTAATTGAGTACATGCTTAGCATGTACAAAGTCCAGAGTTTGATCCCCAGCACCACCACCACCACCAAAAAAAAAGAAAAGAGAGAGAGAGACAAGACCTATATAGTGTAAAGATGGATAAATCCTACAACCATTATATTGAAGCTTTCCCCTCAAAAAAAGTAAGTTTCATAACATATAAATATGCATCATTTACATAAAATTGAAAAACAAAGTCAGGCATGGTGGTGCATGCCTCTAATCCTGGCACTCAGGAGGCTGAGGCAGGAGGCTTGCTCGAAGTTCAAGGCCAGCCTGGCTATATGGTGAGTTCAGGTCCAGCCTGAACTACACAGCAACACCCTGTCTCAAAAAACAAAATACAAAACAAACAAATAAAATAAAATTAATGAATAAATAATTTTAAAGCATTATATTTAGTATGTTTTGGGAACTTCATGGAGGGTGTTAAACACCGGATTCAGGAAAGTTGTCCTTTGGTAGTGGGGAAGGGACATATTATAGGGAAGGGGATGACATCAGCCAGGGGCTACATGGATGTTTCGGCTGTGCTGTATTGTTTCTTTTTAGTACCGGAGACTGAATCCAGAGTACACTGAGCTATGTCCCCAGACCTTTTTATTTTGAGACAGGGTCTTGGTAAGTTGCTCAGGCTGACCTCAAAGTTGCTGGTCATCTTGCCTCAGCTTCACAAGTAGATGGGATTATAGGTGTGCACCACATCACCTGGCTTGTGCTGTATTACATAAGCAGGGTGAAGGGTACAGGCATGTTTGTTATGTACCTTTGTATGGCATAGTGATATTAGTTTATAATATTAAAAATAAAGCAGAATGGGATTATAGCTATGAGAAGCGAAACAGAGAAAATGAAGGGCACCCATAGCCACAGCAGATAGAATCAAGGAACTTCTTAGGTTAAGTGGTGTGTATGTGAAGACAGGAGGAAGAATTAAGCAGAGAGAGAAAGAGGAATTTTATTTCAGGAAGACAGCAAGCTTGTAAAAGAAAGCTCGGCAAAGGAATTTTTTTCAATCCCTTAGGGGTGGAATATAAAGAGTGGCCCATGAATTTGTACCCTGTCCTAAGGGTAGCTGGACGTTAACACAGGGGTTTTCAGCACGGGAGTTGTGTGGTCATATTTTTGTTCTGGAGGACGTCTCCAGCCTGAAGCAGGACTGAAGGACGCTTACATCTTAAAGTGGACAGCTCCAGACATCAGGTGGACCTGACTGGATGAACTTCTGAGTTCTGAAAAATGTCTGTGTCTGCTGACTTACTTTGATGGAGTTAGGCAGATGTGGGTTTGAATCCCAGCCCTGCCACTTGATGGCTTCATGATATTGGGCAAGGCACTCTCGAGCTTCAGTTTCATCTTCTATTAAATGGAAAAAATAGCTCTTCCTCTTATGGGCGAAAATGAATCATGAATATAAAACATGTAATTCTATACCCAAGTGATATTAGGTAACCAATAAGTGTTTCCCATCCCCCATTTCACCTGCCATCTACCTCTGGGAGTAGTTCTACATAATGTGGCGGTAACCAGTTTATCTTCCTCTTGTTGGCCGTGTGCTAGGCTCCCCGATCTGCCTCAAAGCTCCTTTGTCACTCCTCACCGACCATTTTCAGGTCCAGACTTCTGTTTATGAATCACAAGTCTGGACTCCCCAGAGACCCAGCACCATGAGAGCTGCGCATGGCACAAAGTCTAGTGTTCTCTGCTCCTGAGGGTAACCTCGTTCCTGCTCCCTCACAGGTCCACGTGGGTCCCCCGGGGTGACTATATCGCCTCTAACACGGACGAGTGCACAGCCACACTGATGTATGCCGTTAGCCTGAAGCAGTCTGGCACCGTGAACTTTGAGTACTACCACCCAGACTCCAGTATCATCTTTGAGTTCTTTGTAAGTCCCTGGCCAAGGGGGAGGAAGGAAGGTAAAGACCCTCTGAGATTTAGATTCATTAGCAGGAATCAACTACAAGTGTGGTCCTGCTTGGGAAATCGCAGTTGTTTTCTCTCTGGAGAGAACTATGGGCAAATGAACTGAGGTCTCAGGAGGCAGGAGAAAGGCAAAAGTGAAAGGACCCTAGGGGGTGGTATGGCACGGGGACAGAATCTGTGAAATTTCTAGGTGTTTCTCCCTTCTCAGACATGAAAGGAGCATATGTGAATGGCTCAGTTGCAAATTACTTGTTTGCTATCAGTGCTGAGATGTTTCGTGTGTGTGCAGCCAGCTCTCACCCTACTTCAAGGCTTGTGTGTCCGGGGTCAGTCCTAGAGGAAATTGGCAACTCTTCTCCCTTAAGAAAGGCCCTCTGTGGGGCTGTGTGGCATGGGCTAAGGCCCTGACTTCCTCTGAAAGCTGAGCCTCTGACCCCAAACTCCTGCTGCCTCAGGTCCAGAATGATCAGTGTCAGCCCAATGTGGACGATGCCAAATGGATGAAAACTACGGAGAAAGGATGGGAATTCCACAGTGTGAGTGTCACACCAGCCTTCCTGGGGGGTCCTGGAGAAGGCCCAGGGGCCTCTCCTCAAGGAGGACTTCCTCTAGGCCTGAGCTTCTGCTCCTCTGCTCCCAGAGGGCAGGGGTCTGAGATGACGAGGATGTGCCGGCTCCTGTCCTCCTGACTGATGGAATATGGACATGGACTGGCTTTCTGCTCTTGAGCTTCACCCCAAGCACCAGCAGCTTTCAGCTTTAAGGCCAAGCTTTCTGGAGAATGAGGGGACACCAGTCACCCTACTGTCAGTCACCTCACGTCCCTTTATTGGTCTCACTAGGAGAGATACTTGTGAAATATGTGATGCAAAAAACAGTGGGAGAGGGTACAAAAGGAGTTTAAGGGGAGGCTCCCAGAGAGAGGAACTGAGCTGAGATAAGCTGGAAGGGCAAAAACCAGGAAGGGAAGGGAGATCGTCAGACAGGCAGTGTCTATTCAGTAAGAGGTTAAACTGGCAGGTTAGCGATGCTTGTCTCTGTCATGAACTAGCTGATACCTTTTTGTCATTTCTAGGTTGAGCTAAATCAAGGCAATAATGTCCTCTACTGGAGAACCACAGCCTTCTCAGTGTGGTCCAAAGTTTCCAATCCTGTGCTGGTGAGAAACATCGCCATCACAGGTACTGAGGACAGGGTCGGTCTTTTGCTGCTTTCTGGCCTCTTGACTTTGCAGGGAGGGTGGCGGTCAGTCTCCAGGGCCCCTGCATCCAGGCTCAATACTCGCTCTTCTAAATGTTTTTCCTCAGGAGTGGCCTACACATCTGAATGCTTCCCTTGCAAACCGGGCACATATGCAGCCAAGCAAGGCTCCTCTTTCTGCCAACTTTGCCCGGCCAACTCTTACTCAAACAAAGGAGAAACTTCTTGCCACCCTTGTGATTCTGACAAATATTCAGGTGATGTTCCTGGGGGCAGGAAATGTTAGGGGTGGAGGGACACACACAGGGAGAAGCCAGGAGTTAGAGCCGTCCTTCTGGCCAAGCTGAAGATAATAGGTCTTAAATCCTTCCTTTCTAGACCCTGGAAGATCCTTGCCAATCCACATCCACCAATCACTCCAGAAATGAATCAGTAAATATTTGTGAAGGCTCTCCTATCTTCCAGGGCCCATTCCTGGTGCTTAGACTATATCAGCAAAAAGTCCCTGCCTTCAGGGAATTTACATTCTAGTGGAGGGAAAGCAGACAGTAAATAATAAGTATAAGAAATAAATGACTTATGCATAAGAAATTATATAGTATGTTATGTTAGATGGCAAAAAAGTGCCATGGCAAAAAGGAAAAGCAGCTCAGAGTTAGAAGGGATTAGGACAAATAGGGAAACACACTGCAATCTTTTTCTCCCCAGGTAGTAAAATCTGTTTTATTTAATGAAAACCTATATGATTATAATTGTAATCAGTAAATATAGATAAAAGATAAATTTATGTATTTTAATTTATAATTTTTTTTGAGACAGAGTCTTGCTATGTAGTTCAGGCTGGTCTTGAACTCACTAAGAGCTCACTAAGTAGCCCAGGCTGGCCTCAAACATGCAGCAATCCACCTGCTTCAGCCTCACAAGTGCTGGGATTATAGATGTGTGCCACCATGCCCAGCTATGACAGCTATTATAAAAGTTATTTTTAAGAACTCTGAGGCTCTATTGATGAACACAAATATTAAGGTTTTATTTTATTTTTAAATGGCAAATAATAGTATATATTTATGAGGCATAATAGGATGTTTCAATATACTGTATGTATATTTTGTAGAATGATCAAATCAGGCTAACAGTATAACCATTTTAATAGCAAGGACTAAAAATGAAAGTTGGAATCTTTTTTTAGATTAAGCATCCATTCCAGCTAAGCCTCCTAAACACCTAGACTGAGAGGCATGGAGGCAGGAAGGTCACAAGCAAGTTTGAGCCCCAGCCTGAGGAATTTAGTGACCCTGTCTCAAAATTTTAAAAGATATAAAAGATCTAGGGATATAGCTGAGTGCAAAGTCCCTAGGTTCAATCCCCAGTGTGGGGGTACAGGGGAGCTGGGGCTATAGGCATGTACCACCACATGGGGCTCCAAAGCAGGCATTTCTGAAAAATCCAGGTTTACTTGGAACACAGTTTGAAACCCACTGCTCTAAGGGAAAACCACTTCCAGGGGCCATTTGGAAGCAGTCTATTATCAGATCGTAGATACAGTAGCTTCCTAAAACATCCTAATTTAAGAAACAGGACTTATCGTTTGAGGAGGTGTCAGAAGACATCAAGACTCTGGGATAAGAAGGCCAGTGCCACCAGAGAGCTCTCTGTCAGGCAGTTAGTGATTGGCACAAGGTGCAATCTCCAAGGTAGGTCTGGAACAAGTAAGAAGGGAGAGACTGCGCAAGCCCAAGGACCCGAGTTTGATCCCCAGTACCAAAAAAAAAAAAAAAGAAGGGAGAGAAAAAGAGTTTTTCTATTTGTCCCTTGAAATACTCATCACAATTCTATTTTTCTTTTTTACACAGAATCATATAAAACCCAGCACAAAGCTGCCTCTGAAGTAGACCCCATAGCTCCCAAAGACACCCATACTTCACACAGGTGTTTGCTTAGCTAAGACCAGCCATTGACCTTGTGAATTGCTTAATTTCTACACTACTCCTAAAACAAAAGACCTATTTATCTACACAGATCTTGCCAAATAATGAGTGTAGTTTTCAGCCAGGACAAGAAAGTGTAGATCTTGGAGGAAGTTTTTCTCTACAAGTCGAAATCGAAATCCTGTTTTTCCACTTGAATTTCTTATTCCCCTTCCTGCCCTGACTCTGTCAATGGTGGCCTTTGTTAATCTGTCTCGGCTTCTTTTCCAACTCAGCAGTTGTGCAAGGGTTTGAATGGCAGGATGGTTCTGGCAAAATTGCTTAGGAGTGTTTTAACTCTGAAAACTGATTTTTACCTAGAGAGCTATTGTAAAGTGTTAGGTTGGGAATCTGAATTCTTGGATTATATTCTTCTGCCGTCAATTTCTTAAACTGCCCCTTTGATTGAGAAGTGAGTTTTTATTATGAGGATACCCTGTTGACTACCCCACTCACCAGCTTGGAGTTCAAAGAGAGTCGTATTTCTTTGAGACTTGACTCTTCCAAAGGGTGCTGGGGGAAAAGTGGAAGGCTGAGAAAATACAGAGAGTCAGATAAGTGCCTATGATGGAAGTGCATGAGTGATGGAAGCCCCAATCATACAAATACATTCTGAGTGCCTGCCAGGTCTGGGCTTGGAGCTACAGATAGAGCTCATGGCCACCCTCCAGCTTCTGTTGAAAACACTGTGATAAAAGCACTTAGGTGCAATACTCTTCTTAGTGCAATGGGGCTTGGATAGTAGTGCTGAGTATCATGTACAGTGGAGAAAAAAAAAGGGAAATTGTTAGTAGTCTCTGGGATAGGAGGAGAGACTTCACTAGCTAAGATCTTGTAATATTAGCTGAGCTGAGTATTCATGGTGGTACATGCCTGTAATCCCGGGACTCAGGAGGCTGAGGCAGGAGGATTGCAAATTCTAGGCCAGCTTGGGCTATAGCTTGGACTACGCAATGAGTTTCTGTCTCAAAAAAAAAAGTAAGCTGAGTTTTGAACTACAAAGTGCTCATTTAATGGGCTCAGGATGTTTGGGATAGTAAAAGTGTAAGCCCAGGCCAGAAGGCTCAAGGCTGGAGATTAGGATGAAGAGATGTAGCATTCAAGGCTCAATGGTAAGCAGGGAGCAGAGTATGAAGCAGACCTTCTATGCTATTGCTAGAAAAAAAATGGGGTTTACTAAAAAAAATTTTTTTGAGTCCATTTTAATGAAGAATAGTGATTACTAGAGGTTGGGAAAGACAAGGGAAAGAGGGTAGAGGAGGAAGTTGGACAACAGGTATAAATACACAAATAGGAGAAATACATTCTGTGTTCCACAGCACAATGACGTGACAATTAACCTATGATGAACTATTATATATAACCTATTATATATATTAACTTATAAGAAAGAGTTGGAAGGCTCCAAATACAAAGAAATAATAGGGAGATGGAAATGCTGATTACCAGCATGATCAGGACATTCTGTATATGCATTGAAACATTCCACTGTGCCTATAATATGTACAGTTATTACTTGCTAATAAAAATTCTCTTTTGAAATTGGTATTTGATCCTGTCAGCAGCGGAGACCATTAAAGCATTCTGAGCTGGGGAGTGACATGACCTGGCTCGTGCTTTGGGAGCCCATGCTGGCAGCTTTTGGAGCAGGAGCAGTGGCCAGAGGCTGAGGTCATAGCTGGGAGCTTTTGTGGCAGGCACCACTGCTGGGGCCCAGGATGCAACCACAGAAGGGCTTAGCAGGCTGAAGACTGGAGAACTCACTTGGGAAATGTTAAACTATTCCTTTTTTTTGGTACCAGGGATCAAACTATGGGCCTTGCACTTTCAAAGCAGGAGGTGGAACCACTGAGCTAAATCTCCTGCAAGAGGTCAAGGACAAAAGTTTTATGAAAATTTTTTTCATTGATACCTCACATTTGGTCATTAGGATTAATTCCTTTGTGCTGTTGGGATAACATGGAGTTTGAGAGTGTGGACTCCAGAACTAAGTTACTGGGTTCAAATCCCTGTTCTACCATGTAGTAGCTGGGTCACCTTGGGCACATTACTTACCTGTGCCCAAGTTTCTATACTTGATCTTACTTGAAAAGCTGAGAAGTGATTATACCTCATTCTCTTCATTTCTTCACATTGTTATCTCAAGTATTGATTAATCAGGTAAAGAATTTAGGGGCCTGGCAGGTAGTAAGCACTGATTTTTATTGATTCATTACCATTTAGCCCTGTCTGAATACTCTTCTTTTAATATGAAAATACTCTTGTTAGAGGCTACAATAACAAAAGGCCACGTGTATAGAACTTTATGATCAATACTTTATTTATTTCTTAGAGTGTTGGGGTGATTTTCTCACTTACAAATGAATAAAGAGAAGTTCAGAGAGAGGGTAAGAGATTGGCCAAGAATCTGAACTGGTGTCTGAAGTGGGCCTTGTGTTCATTAGGCCCGTAAATATTTTCCTTTGGCAAAATGAGTCTGACAGAGTGAGACCTTTGTACACCTAGATGTGGAGAGAGGATATGAAAGAAGAAAGAAGGTGCCGAAAGAGGAGTTGAGGCCCCCTGAGAACAACTTCCTTCTCTTACAGTTTTCCCAGGGTCAATCCTACTGTACTCAAATCCCTTTTCACTCCCTCCACCAACCAAACATGGTGGCTGATCTTCCAGACTTGACTGGTGCCCTGCTTACATCTCAGTGACACTGAGCTAGCAAAGCGAGGCCTGTCTTAGCCTTTGGGTTAATCATTTATTAAAACCATTTCAGCAGTGGTCAGTGTGTAAACAGCTAGACCATTTTTGCTAAAATCTGTCAGGTTGAGCAAATATTTGACAAGCAGAGAAAGGTCTTTGTGCAGAATACATTTTCTAACACACACCTTGCACTTTGCTAGATTCAGTTCACAAGGTCCTGGGAATTGGCACATGTTCAGCATCTCCTCCCAGGTCTCTCCTGGCCAAGTCAGTCAAAAGCAGGAGCCCCTGGATCTCTCTGTGCTGAACTGGGCCTTCTGCTTGTTAACCTAATAAATAGCTGGGAAGATCGCAGCTGTTTCTCAGCTAGCAGTTCCCTCTTGCTCGGCCTAACAAGATGGAGACAGAAGAGATGGGGAAATGTACAGCCGAGGAGACTCCCTAGTGCAGGCCAGCAAGCTAGTAATTAGGAGATTCTCGATCAAGGAAGTCATTTAGGAAAAGGAAGGGATCAGCTGAGAAATCAGCCCTTCACTTAAATGAAAGGAAAGAGACTTTTAATCCTTATTAAATCTCCTGTGACAGTTTCGAAATAAAAATAGTTTGCAAACATGCAGATAGTAATAATTATTGCCATTTAGTGACTATCAACTTAAAATTTGCTGGGCGTGTATGGTGCTGGCTCCAAGGTAGATAATATTATTCTTGCTCCATGGACGAGAAGGCCAAAGCTCAGAGTGGTTAAGTAACTTGCCTAAAGTGACACAGCTATTAATGATGAAGCAGAATCCAGACCTAGCTCTGTCTAGATTAAAACTGCATTTCACTACACCATACTACTTGTCAGATAATATAGGAAAGGAGAAGTTCTCATCATTGTCAAATGTTTGCCTGCAATGGACGAAGTACTCATATTGGAAGTAGAGCTAGCAGTAATAGGAGTATTGTAATGTGCATCATATAAAGCAGTTGTTTTAAACAGAGAACATGAATTAAAAATAACTAAAGAGCAAGGAAACAATTGTATGAAAGATTTTGTGGTAAAGCATTAAAACTAGTTAAAAAGCATGAAGTCTAAAATTGTTACAGTAAGGGTAATAAAACTAAATGCAAAAAATAGATTTGTAAGCTAGATACAAAATTTTCAGTTTATGTAATTTTAAACTGTCAAAGAGCATGCCAAATATTCAATGTATTGGGCAAATAAATATTGTCTTACTTTTGCCATGTAGTATCATAGATAAAGATGCATGTTGTTAAGCCAAATGTGTGTAAAATAGAAGTGTTTTTTCACCATGGACAGGACAAGTACTGTAAAGACAGTCTAAAACAAAATGGAAAATGGTAATTTTATTTCCCTTATGTTTAATTACAAGGAAAAAACCTAAGATATTTGTTCATAATGTTAATACTGATAGTGTAAGAAGAAAATTTCCAAAGCGTTGCTTTGAGAGGAATGGATAAAATATTGTTTGATAAACTGAATTGGGAAAAAACAGTAGTTACTGCCTCAGATGGTAGTTCATATAAGTCGGCTTGTCACTGAGTTGTGGACAAAAATATAATATATACATTCCAAGCTTTGGAATTGAAAAGAAATAAAAAACCAGGAAAAGAAGCAAAGAAAACTAGCTAGGAAGCATTAAAATAGCATAAAAGAGTTTGACAAAGGTAGAGGTGAATTATTATACTCATAAACTGGTTAAATTCCCAATTAATAAGACCCAAATTTAGTGCAAAATCATCTCTGATTTGAGAAGTCTACATTTGTATAAAACAAAGGCTAAAAGGGTTTAAGGGTAAGAGAAACTCTTTAGATCATAGAAATAGAGAGCAACATTTTTTTAGGCAGAAATAAGAACATTATAACATATTACACATTTAAGAGACTGTGGTAAATAACATGACATTTATTTGTAAGATCAATGTTCAGTATCTTGATGTGGGTGGTAGTTTTTACTGCTGTAAAAGTTTTACTGCTGTAAACTGATGATTCATATATTTTTAAAAGTGCATTTTATGTACTTAAAGTTCATTGAGTAATTCTTCAGTTAAGAAGAACTCACGTAATATACATAAATAAAGCAATTGTTTTTATTCTGGAGAAAGCAAATTCTCTAGAAAAAATTTAAAATTCTATGCATATTTTTCTGGGTAGAAAAAACAGCTTTTTTTTTTTGTCAAAAAAAATTTTTTTTGGTACCGGGGATTGAACTCAGGACCTTGCGCTTGTGAGGCAGGCAGCGAAACCATTGAGCTAAATCCCCAGCCCTTTTTTTCAAAATTTTAAAAAATTTTCTCGATTCCAAAGAGGTGAAGTCATTGTTTTAAAAAGAAATTCATTGAAATAGTTGCTGTTGTCCAGCAGTTCACAGGGTTGAGGAAGAACTAACATAGACATAAGGAGAACATACAGAGCAGGGTAAATCTGATACTTAGCATTTCTCATCAGGTACACATCAAGGATTAAAGACAGCACTCTTGGAAAGAAACTTCTGTCTTAAGTGAAGTTCAAGGAAATTACAACCTAAGCTTTACTATGTTTTAGCTCAACCCTCAGGAGTAGCAAAACCACACCCAAAGTGGGATTGGACAATGGAGGGTTCCAGGGATGTAAGGTCGGTGGTGGTGAGCCTGTAAGATGCCACTCCCCACTACACCCTCCGCATGGTCTGAGCCCCACAGTGCAGGGCCAGCAGCTTCTCATCAGCCCCAGGAAGAGGTGCAGTGGGGTAGCTGAGGAGGGGGTGGGGAACTGGAAAAGACATCATCGAAAAAAAAGGAAGGGTGAGTGTACAGGGTTTTCTACTTTCTACAACATCCCAGGGGCTTGCAAGTTCCAGGATCATGAGCAACTGCTTTTTATTTATTTATTTATTTATTTTTTGGTACTGGGGATCGAACTTGGGTCCTTAAGCTTGTGAGGCAGGCGGCAGAACCACTGAGCTAAATCCCTAGCCCAGCAACTGCTTTTTAAATGTAACTTCAAATATCATTTCTTGCTTTGGCAATTTAGAAAAAGGATCCTCCTCCTGCAAAATGCGCCCGGCCTGCACAGACAAAGATTATTTCTACACACACACGGCCTGTGATGCCAACGGAGAGGTGGGTAGCAAGGTCTCAGAGTCCCTCTGCCCAGGTAGACTGTCTCCTGCTCTCTGCCTTTACTGCTTTTTTGAAATGTGAGTGGCCAGGCACGCTGGTCCCAGATAAGACCCTGCAGACCTGTGTGGTGACCCCAGGGCTAGTCAGGGGGCCAAGCAGGATGGCTTAGTTCACTTTCAGATCAGAAACTCGTTTTGCCTCATTTGTTTCCCTGCTTATTCAATTATGCTCTGTTTCAAAAACCATTTTTTTTGCTTTTACTTGCATTCTTCCATTTGCTCAGCCCCTCTGGGTGGCGCCTGCCTGTCCATACTCATGTATCTCCCCCCAGAGCTTCTGGGGCTGTGTCCTCAGCGATGCTGCTGCTGCATGCGGCTGGGAGGCACTGATTCCCACTCCTGGCTCACTGCAGAATGACCTGACTGGTTCAGTCTCCATTGTTTCTCTTTCTCCCAAGCCTTCTGACTCAGAAAAGGAATTTCCCTTGTGGTCTGGCTGTCACTAAATCAACAAGCACTTGTGTGCTGACTGACATGTCAGGCTGGGGAGTTAGAGGTGACTGAGGTGTCAGAGCTCCTCCTGTCACAGAGCTCATGGTCCTATGTGGGAGGCTGAAGCAAGGAGAAAGAGGGACCAGATAAGGAAACCAGGGAGATGTGTACGGGCCGAGGGGAGCCCAGAAGATGACAACTCAGCATGAGGGGTCACAGAAGCCCTCTTGGAGGAGGCTGTTTGTTCAACAGTCAACAAATATTTACTGAGCAGCTACTATATACTAAGACATTGTGCTAAGCTCTAGGTATACATCAGTTAGCAAAATCAAGGGAACATATAGTCCTTAAGGCTTAATTCTTATTGGGGAAGGAGACAACGGAGAGACCATAAATTGGTGTACTATATCAAATGGTAATAAATGGCAGGAAAAAACAAATAAAAAAGAATCAGGAGACAGAGAATGACAGGGCGCACTGCTATTTTAGAAGGGTGAGCAGAGAGAGCTTAGTGGGGTGAGGAAGGAGTTATGGCGCTTTCCAAGCAGAGGCTGGCGGATGCGGAGGAGGGACACGTGTGCCTGGGGAGTCTGGACTAGCGGGAGTGAGGAGGGAGAGGCTGGAGGGCACAAGTGGAGGGATGAGCCTGAGACCAGACATCCTGGATGAACTATCTGCATCCCTAAGCCAGCTTTTCCAGGGGGTAGAAGTGGGAGCCAGAATTCAGCGGTCAGCACTGAGCACAATGCTTGGTTATCAGGGAGCGTGAGGGTTTGCGGGCTGCGCAGCGGACTGAATCCTCCCTTTACTGATTAAGTATGAGATCAAATCTAGTCCTTAACGGTGATCCTTGTTTACAGCCATCTCTCACCACCGCCATCCCCCAGCAGCCAAGAGAGAAAGTCTGTCTGCTTTGTCCGTGGGACCTTGGATTCAGTTCTGTAGCATCGGGTGTTCCGTATGAACTCGTAAAAACTGTTTGTACATTCTTGGTATCAGTCGACTCACTGATGCAATGCGGACAGTTAATCCTGTCACTCTTTTCCCCAGTAGGCACAGTGTGTGACTGGCTGTGGCTCTTTCCTTCCTTCTGCCCCATTCTCTCCTCTCCTGGACTCGGGTCACAGCCTTCCAGATGCAGTGTGCTGTGCTGCTGTGAGCCTGGGTGCTGTCCTTGCCTGAGCCCCACTGGGCTCCCTAGACACCGGGTCAGGCCAAGGCCCTGCTCCCGGTGCAGCACAGCGCAAGCACAGCTCAGGAGCAGCACGGAGGCTTAGGCTTTGGGGATAGATACACAGTACACGTGAGTGTGCATTCGGCGTGTCTGCTACATGTGCTCACACCCACACTCCATCTGCTCGGCCTGGTGGTGATTTCAGTCTCTCACTATGTATTCCAGGGTCTTAGTCTTACTATATACTTCCAACTGGCGTTGAGCTCATTATGTATGTAGCCTAGGCAGGCCTCAAACTCACAGCAGTCCTCCTGCCTCAGATTCCCAAGAGCTGGGATTACAAGCATGAGTCACCAGGCTCAGCTCATGTCCTGTTTTAAAATTAAGGAACATAACCTCGAGCTGATTGCTCCGATTGCCCCTGTGACCTTTCCTGTGCCTCAGTGGTTTCTCTGGTACCAGAATGGCCAGTCATTTGGGGTCACTAAATATGCTGCTCCAAGAGATGGAGGTCCAAGAAAAAAAGTCAATCATTTTCCCTCTGCCTGAAACTCACGGGAGACAGGCAGGGAAGGGGAAGGCTAAGATGACAGCCTGGGGCTTTGGCCATGGCTGCTCTTCACAGTGAGGAGGAGCCCAGGGCTCACCACCAATGGAGGCAGCATCCCTCTCCCTTAAGACTTGATCACTTCTTGGGGCCGGGGATTTAACTCAGTGGTTCTGCCGCCTGCCTCCCAAGTGTAAGGTCCCGAGTTCAATCCCCGGTACCAAAAAATAAAACAACAACAACAACAACAAAATGAAGACTTTATCACTTCTTATCCTGAATAAAAGGGAAAGAGGCCTTATCTACCCACACTTTTCATCACACACCCCCCACCCAGTGCCATCCCGCAGGGTCCGTTTTTCTGGTCTGGCAGATCTAAGAGCCGTATGAGAAAATGGAGCTGCTCCCCCTCCAAACACACCAGGGTCTCCTGCTGGTCATCCTTCCTTCTGCACATTGTGCTTTTATCAAAAGACAAGGGATACTGTAGTGGGCATCAGCACGTGGCCTCTTTGTCCACTGTGAAGGCTGACTGTTCCTCTCGTCCCTTCTCCCACCTGGATTGTCATTATATAATTGTTTCGCTGCCCATATCGTTTGCTCCTGAAGGACAGGAGCCATGTTTCATTACTCACAGAGACACCAGCTTTGGCACATAGATGTTTTGGACTTCCTATAAATGTGTACTCATGAAATGAAAGAGTAAAGAATACACCACTTGGAAAATTAGAACATCTCAGCCACCCATCTTTCCCTAAGGGTTTTGTAAGTCCCTCTATTCCATGCTGCTTTGTGTTCTGGGGTTTTCGCCAACTGCTTTTCCAGTGACCTTGGTGGCAGTAAGATTCCACGGTGGAATCAGAGCTTTTTCTGAAGACAACTGGTTCCCCATCCTCTCTGTCACAGAATCCCCATTAGATGCATTCTTCCTCAGCCAGTCAGCCTATGTTCAGCAGTTACTAAGCACAAGCATATGTTCGGTGCTGGCCTAGATGCTTGAGATACATCAGTGACCAAAACAAAGTCTGCCACCCTGGTGGCACTGTCATTATGCCCCAGGATCCCTCCTGCTCACCCTCACCCTTACATTCACAAGTTGGGGTCCTGAATATGTGCTAAACCCCATGCATGTTGGGCTGTGCTTGTTCATTCCTACAGACGCAGCTCATGTACAAATGGGCCCAGCCCAAAATCTGTGACGAGGACATGGAAGGGGCAGTGAAGCTCCCTGCCTCTGATGTGAAGACCCACTGCCCACCCTGCAATCCAGGCTTCTTCAAGACCAGCAACAGCACCTGTGAGCCCTGTCCTTACGGCACTTACTCCAACGGCTCTGGTAAATCCCTTCTGCCCTGTTGCCCTATCATATTGATCCTCATATCCACCATATGGGTGGGTCGTGTGGACAGTGAGAAGCAACTGAACACAGATTCTGCCCTTCCAAGGGAGGCAGTAAAGAGTGAGCCACCTCTGGGGTCCAAGTTCAGGAGTAGAGAGGTCAGGGGTAGCCCGGGCTATTGGTCAGGGTCCTCTTCACTGCATTTGCAAATATGACTTAGGCCTGAAGGGACTGAATCCTCACAAAAGAGGCTTCCGGTATGTGGCAGAGATGCCAACTAGAAAGTCTGGGGGTGAGACTGAGGTGACCAGCTGGACATAGTCAGAACCTATAAGCCATGTTGCAAAAACGGGACTAGGGCATATGTGTACATATAGCATTTCATAACAATGTGACAATAATGTGAACTGTATGTGTCAGAGTAGATGTATCTAAGTTTTGCAATGAAAATTTTGGTGGTCAAGGAAGATGGTTGGAATATTGGAATGAAGGGTCCGCGTTTATGCCCTGAGCATGTTGTCAGAATGTTTTGGAGTCAGTTGGACGTAACTGCGCACAATAATGCTCAGCAACCACTCTCCTTTGGCTACCACTTGTCTGTGTAGCACCAGCATCAGGCAGAGTAGTTGTACCCTCCCCGCTAAAGATGGATCTTCTGGTTTCCCCAGATTGTACCCATTGCCCAGCTGGAACAGAACCTGTCCTGGGATATGAATACAAATGGTGGAACATGATGCCTGCAAACATGGAGACGACTGTCCTCAGTGGGATCAACTTTGAGTACAAAGGCCTGACGGGTAATTGCCTCTTCCTGCACTCCCACAGGAGTTCTTCCAAGTTCATGTTTCTTTATAATAGTGATGCCTGAGAAAAATAAGCTAACCACATCATACATTTCCTTGAAAGTTCTACTCCTATGGGCATATATTCTGCCAAAGTTTGTTTCAGAGAGAAACGGAGCTAGCAACAGTATGCATGTGCCCCCAAAGGTCTTTTTCTGAGAGCTTCAGCCTTTGACCACAGTAACAGGATGAGTGAGTACCTTCCTGCTCACTCAACAAGCTCTGGATGCCTCAAAGAACAGCACCGTATCTCCCTTCCAGAGTGTCATCTCACGTGCATTTGTCTTGCGCCCAAGAGCACAAGATCATTAACAATCCCCTCTCTTTTTCCAGGCTGGGAGGTGGCTGGAGATCACATATACACAGCTATTGGAGTCTCCGACAACGACTTCATGATTCTCACTCTAGTTGTGCCAGGATTTAGGTGAGGAATACAAAGCCAAGGGGAAACCCATGCCAACTTGGCCATATCCAAGTCCCACATACCTCAGAATGTTTTCAAGGAGAGGGTTTCTGGAGTTGGATTCCACTTCATTTCAGATACCCTTACAGAGCAGAGGAGGGCACAGTGATGGTTTGACTTGGTTGACCTCGAGGCTAACACATTTTCTTAGTTGCTGCCCATGCTGATTTTCCTATTGCTCTCTCATCCCATCTAGTTTCTCCCATTGAAAGGCGACATCAAAAAGGATTTTTAAAGCCTTTAAAAAATAGAGCCAGATGTGTCTACAATTCATCTTTACTTGGGGCAAGAAGATTGAGAAGGATTTTTCTTATGTTATATGTGTCCCTATAGCCTAAGGACAGGATAGGACCATAAGCAATTTGTTTGCCATTAAGAAAAAAAAGTTGGGGTTGTAGTTCAGTGCTAAAATGTTTGACTAGGATGTGAGAGGCCCCAGGTTTAACACTAGCACCACAAAAAAAGTTTTTTTAAAGAAAAAAATTAAAAACTTAACAAACTAAAAAGCTCCAGATAGTATGATATAATGAAAAGAGCACTGGATTAGAAGACAGAGCACTTGAACAGCTGAACTGCCACTTAGTGGCCTTGTAAACTTGGGAAAATCACTTTGGCTTTCCAGGCCTCAGGGTCCCGGTCTGTAACATCAATCTGTTATGCAAGACTAGCTCAGGTTGTAATGATTCTTCCAGCTCATTAGTTAGCACAACTGTGTAGAGGGGACTTAAGAACTGAAGCTCCTCAGGATCCAGGCAAATAGCTAAAGCCCAAAGAAAAGCCATAGCTAGGCATGTTGGTGCACATCTATAATCTCAGCATGCAGGAGACTCAGGCAGGAGGATCACTATGGGTTTGAGGCCAGCCTGGGCTACATAGTGAGTTCATGGCCAGTCTGAATTACATAGAGAGATCTTGTCTCAAAAAACAAAAAACCAGGGCTGGGGGTTTAGCTCAGTGGTTCTGCCACCTGCCTCACAAGCACAAGGTCCTGAATTTGATCCCCGGTACCAAAAACAAAAAAGAAAAGAAAAGCCACAAATGGATTTCTAAAACAAAAATGAACTCTTCTGCTTTGAATCCTTTAAAGATGAGAAGAACCACTGAGTGTGCTTCCCTATTGCCAAGTTGACTTCTCCATCTTGCCTTGGAAGCCCCTGCTTTTTATCCCTGGGATGGTGCTCAGCCAATGGCAGTTGTTCAGAAAGTATTAGTTTTCTCTTTCCTTAACCCACATTACTTAGTGTAGGCCAGAGAGATCCTGTGCTTGAAAAATGAGCAAACTTTCGGCTTTATGGAGTAACATTCCAAAAAGTATTTTCAAATTTGCAAATCTGATTACCATATGTTAGCTCTGTTACTGTAAGAAAATGCTTGAAAGCACCAATTTAAGAGAGAAAATATTGGGCTGGGGATTTAGCTTAGTGGTTTCGCTGCCTGCTGTGCAAGCGCAAGGACATGAGTTCAATCCCCGGTACCAAAAAAAAGGAAAGAAAAAAAGAGAGAAAATATTTTGGCTCACAGTTCCTGTCCTTGATCAGTTGGCTCGTTTGCTTTGGGCCTGTGGTGAGGCAACATATCATGGTGGGGAGCACATGATGGAGCAAACTGCTCACTTCATGGCATCAAGGAAGCAAAAGGAAAGAGAGGGTGTACTCCAGTGACCTACGTTCTTCCCATGAGACTTTACCCCTTTAAGGCTCTACCACTTTCGAACAGTGCCATGGGCTAGGGATCAAGCCTTTAACACATGGCTTTTGGAAGGGATTTATCACAACTGTAACATTAATGTAAAGTGCTGCCTCACTCCCAACCCTAGCCCACTTGGACATGGCTCTTGCTTTCTCAAAAGAAAGATGAATGGGAGACACTGGCTGAAGACACTGAAAGTTTGGCTCATTTAAGCCAGACAAAGCTGAGTAAATGTAGATAGTTTGCATCCTATGACAGTGGTGCTTCTCCAATTTTAATGAGAATACAGACTTCCTGGGAATCCTGGTAATGTGCAAATTCTGATTCAGTGGCCTGGGGAGGGCCTAAGGGTTTGCATTTCTAATTAACTCCCAGGGCTGGTGATGCCACTGGTCAGCAGACCACCTCTGGGTTTCATAAAGCATGCCCACATTTGTTATGGCTTTGGCTCTCACTACAATAACTTCTGTTTTACAACTGAAGAAATTAGTTTGGCTAGGGCAAGCTCACATAGCTTGGGTGGGAGAACTGAACTTAGTCTATACTCTTTCCAACATACTCAGAACTTAATCTTGTCCCTAGGTGACCCCTTGCTGGTATCTGGACTTTTTAAGCAAGCACTGCCTGGCCTCCAGAACTGATCTTTAATTTCTGCCCACACAGACCCCCACAGTCAGTGATGGCAGACACAGAGAATAAAGAGGTGGCCAGGATCACATTTATCTTTGAAACCATCTGTTCTGTGAACTGTGAGCTCTACTTCATGGTGGTAGGTTTTCCTTTCTTTGCTGGCTATGGGGCTTCCAGGGAAGGGTTGGCTCCAACTGTCCCAGTGGTCAGTCAACACAATGGGTACCTGCTCATAGTGATTTGACAGAAGGAGGGCCTGGAGTGACCTTCGGGAACCTCACAGTTTCACATGGGTCTTACCAACTGTGATGGCCTGCAGAATGGCAGTAGGATAGGTATCCCCAACCCCTCCAGCCATCATGCCTTCCTCACTTGTCTGTCCTGGGTTCAGGGCATGACTTCAAGGACCAACACCCCCGTGGAGACATGGAAAGGTTCCAAAGGCAAACAGTCCTACACCTACATCATTGAGGAGAATTCCACCATGAGCTTCACCTGGGCCTTCCAGAGGACCACACTTCATGACACAGTGAGTCGCTCCTCTTCCACAGACCCTCAACTTCCAGAAGGAACCATTTGAACCAGGAGGACTACTGTCATGAGCTCGTGTATGAGTCCAAGCTTTAGAATGCAGGGGTTGGAAGGATCTTAAGGAGTCCAGCAGAGAACTGTCTAGCTGTAGCCCTCCGAGAATCATCCAGCCTTGTCTAAAAGATCTCCAGGGAGGACGACAGTATGAGTCCCTTTAGTCATCTTGCTATCCTTGCAATCCCAGCCCATGGTGAAGTCAGACCTGTTGTTTTTAGTAATAATAGCTCTTGTTTTCTTAATTCAAAGTAATACAGGTTTATTACAGAAAACTTGGAAAATAAAATAGATATAAATAAAAAGAAATAAAATCTGTCAAATCTTAATAACCAGAGATAGCCTAGTTAATATCTGGAGTACCTCCAATATAGTCTTTATTTCTTGACAAATACATATTTTCCCCCTTTACTAAGAAAAGTCTTGCTTTTTTCATATAAATGTATCTACTGCATATTTTCCTGCTGTACTTAATATGTTTTGTTTTGTTTTTGGTACCAAGGATTGAACTCGGGACCTTGCGCTTGCGAGGCAGGCGGCGGAACCACTGAGCTAAATCCCCAGCCCTGTACTTAATATTTCTAACGTAACTTAAAATTGAGTCAGTTTTGCTTTAAAATTGCACAGAATGCTCATAAAGAGCTATTGCTAAGTGATTAAAAAAAAAGCTGCTTCTCAGATTTTTCTCAAGTGCCACAGGATAAAACATTAAGTACTTTGCTATTTCCACTGTTGCTGCTAACTCAGGCCTCTCCCCTCTCCCCTCTTTTTTCCTTGTCTCCAGGGCAGAAAGTACACCAATGATGTTGCCAAGATCTACTCCATCAATATCACGAATGTCATTGATGGTGTGGCCTCCTATTGCCTCCCCTGTGCCCTGGAAGCCTCTGACATGGGCTCCTCCTGCACTTCTTGTCCTGCTGGTTACTACATCAACCGAAATTCTGGAACCTGCCATCCCTGCCCCCCTAATACAGTCCTGAAAGCTCACCAGCCTTATGGTATCCAGGCTTGCATGCCCTGTGGTCCAGGGACCAAGAGCAACAAGGTGCCAACAGCCTGTCATGCATCCTAACTTTGGCCCTCCTAGTTGGATGGCTCAGAGGGTGCTGGGTCCTGGATGGGGTTCTTGAAGGGCTGATCCCCAAGTGCTCCCCCTAGCATGCATCTAGATTGGCTTCCTAGAGTCCCTGGCCATGGGTGATGAGTTCTTAACAGTATGGTAAGATTTCCCTCAGTCATGGACAAATCTCGTCTTCAGTTGATAGTAAGGGAGATCAGTGACCAGTCTGGACCAGAGGGTTATTTGGTGTCTGTAGAGAGACACAAAAGGAAAGAATAGTGGCTCAAACTCAGCCTAGTCCAGTCCAACCTGTTATCATGAGTTTGTCCCCTCTCCTTTGGGAAGGTAATCCAACTTTTGCTGGGACATACCTGGCATTTCTTTCTTCTACCCCAGTGGCTTCTCAGCTTTACAGATATCCAAATTCCTCTCTAATGTAGAAAAACAGTACTTTTTCTTCCATATATAGTTGAGAAAGTACATATGACTAAAAGCTCTTAGATACTCATTAATGGTTCTAAATGAATTTGCATTTTACTGATCACAGTCACACAGATATACATCTATAAGATGTTATGTTCTCAGGCATGCTGGCAAATGCCTGTAATCCCAGCACTCGGGAGTCTGAGGTGGGAGGATCACCTCGAGTTCAAGGCCAATCTGGACTACATAGCGAGTTCAAGGCCAGCCTGAACTACACAGTGAGACCCTGTCTTAGCCTCCCACCAAAAGTTGTATTCTCTGCAAATCTGCTCAGATTAGCTGTGTAATAAGTGTGCCAATTCTACAAACCTTTGACAACCTCTTTTGGGTACCCTGGACCTTTGCCACAGCCATCTTCCCCTGGAGCTCCCTCTGCTGCTATGGGAGGGAATAACAGTAAGACTGCCACTTCACGGGAACCCTAAAACAGGGATGGGGGAGGGGGGTAAAGCCCAATTCGGAGTTGTTTCCCACAGAGAACCTGAGGAAAAAGAAGCAGCAGGGTTCCATGAATTTTAGATGGCGGGGGGACTGGTACATCAGGGGGGAAATTAGTTTCTTTCTTGCCATCCTGAACATCCTTAATTTAGTTAATGCCTCACTGTCTACTTGAAAGTAAGAAAGGGCAGAGGCTGGGGATGGATGGGATGCAGAGTGCTTGCCTAACATGCATGAGGCTCTGGGTTCAGTTCTCAGCACTGAAAAAAATCAAAGAGAGATTTTGCAAAGAATACTAATATTTGTTTGGAAATATGAGAAATCACAATGGGAATATGCATACCATAGTAAACTAAGGGCATATTCCAAGAGTTTGAGACAAGAAAGAGTTTTCAGACAAAAATAAAGAGGATCACATCAGATATTTGAAAGCAGTGATCCTTGGCCACCATGATTAATAACAAGAGCGGTGTCAGTCCAAGGTTGAACGGGGCACTTGCTGAGCAGATGTCCTAGTAGTAGCACTTTTTGCATAAAGGAGTGGCGAAGCTGGTGATGCTGGCAGAGTCCCTTGTGATAGCTACAGCTAGGCTACATGTAAGAACCCTTCCGTCAGGCTCGTACATCACACATGTGCCAGTACCGAATGACGAGCAACACATAAATCTCTATATTGCTTGGTTCACTTCTTTTTAATGCAAATCCTTTTTCCCTCCTCTTTCACCCCATTTGGGCTGGATTGGGGTGGGAGAAAGTCTGCTACTCTTTGCTGTTTCCCCTCAAGGCCCAGCATGTCCAGCTGACCTCACCAGATCCCTCTTTCCCCAGATCCACTCTCTCTGCTACAACGATTGCACCCTTGCACGCATCACCCCATCCAGGATCTTCAACTACAACTTCTCGGCTTTGGCAGCCACTGTCTCTCTGGCTGGAGCGCCGAGCTTCACTTCAAAAGGGCGGAAGTATTTCCATCACTTTACCCTGAGTCTCTGCGGAAACCAGGTAGGGCGCTCAAGCTGATAGTGAGAATTGAAAAGGAAGGCCAGTGGCTCTGAAGCCAAAGATGGACATAGGAGGGAGGAACGCAAAATCCTTCAAGCAACAAGGGATTGAGGAGGTTAAAGGTTTTAAAAATGATTTTAATGCTCCCTGAGGACTTTTTATCCTAAAATTAGATAACCTAGATGATAAATGTTTAGGAGAATAAAAATGCTTAAAACAAGGTGTTTCTGGAAAATTTCCCCCCCAAAATGATTATTTGTTGGGGATCTGTAGGGGTGCTCAGATTTTAGAGCATGTTGGATTTTGGATTTTCAGATTAGATTTATTCAACTGTTAAAATCTATGAAAATACCCCCCCCCCAAAAATCTGAAAACTGAAATACTTCTGGTTTCAAGCTTTTCAGATAAGAGATCTTCAATTTGTATATAAAAGACCAGGAAGGTGGTGTGCACCTATAATCCCAGCACCTGGGAAGCTGAGGCAGGAGGATCACAGCAAATTCAATGCCAGCCTGGGCTACATAGTGAGTTCGAGGCCAGCATGAACTATGCAGTGAGACTCTGTCTCAAAAACAAAAAAATAAAAGACCAGGAAGAGCCAGGCATGGTGGCATTCACCTATCATCCTGGGTCAGCCTGGTAGCCCAGTGAGACCCCATCTCATTTAAAAAAAAAAAAAAGTGGGCTTCAGAAATCAGTATATTTGTCACTTGTTTTCTAGAGGCTGGATAAAATAAATGGTCTTTAGTTCATCTTCGTGTATCTTTGCTGACAGTAGAAAAGAAAATACCACGATTCTATGAGAAAGAATGTCACCATCAGCCATTTCATGCTCCTGCAAATATTTTGGATCCAAAATCCCTAGGGAGAAATGTAGGTGTTCCCATCACGGCTGCAAGTGACTAATTATATGAGCCGTGATCAACAATGGGAAGTTTGGAAAGCTCACTTCCAATGAACAAGATAGACAGCATCTAGGACAGTGATGCCAACCCTTTTAGCATTCAGTGAAACAAACAACCAGGTATGGCACACATGCCATAGCTTTGCCACCACTGCTCTAAGATGTTGAATCTGTGGCTCTACATCACGCAGCTGCCACCCTTCTGAGCACACAAAAGCATTGGTGTGCTTCTGCAGAGAACTGCCAAGGAATAAAGGAATTTATAAAAGATTAGATATGGGTGTCTGCCTTATTTTTAAAAGTCTTTGAAGGTTTAAAATGAATCCTCAGAAGTAACAAGTAGAGGTAACTCAGAAAAGAAGACTGATGAAAATAAGCCCTTTGTAGTGAAAATTCCATTCAGGGAGTTAGGAGAGAGGTGAAGGTAGGAAATTTGGGGTATTGTGTCTTATTTGCTTTTTGGGCTCCTTTGATCTTTTCAGAAATACTGTGTATGGTCACACTACAGGTCTTCAGTTCAAAGACTTATTTTATTATAATGTACAGTTTCTTTCTGTTCTTAAGTTCTTCATCTACAGAAATCTAGAAGAAGTGAATAGATGCCAGATTTAGCTCCATTTTCAATAAAATTTGTAACACCAAAAAATGTTATGCTTTAAATACTTAGGCCACCTAAATTTAAAATATTGAACAATAATCAATAATATTGATATTAGCAAACAAGTTATATATTGACATTCCATAAGCTTAACATTCTTGAAGGGACAAATATTTTCTCTATCATAGAAAGTCAGTTCCTACCTTCTTCCAGATTTCTACATGGTGTGATTTCTACATGGTGTGATTTCTACACGGTGTGATTGTTAAAGACTGGAGGAGAAGCAAACTCCTCCCCACCCCTCACCCCAACCAGGAATGGAATTCAGGGCCTCCCACTTGGCAGGCAGGCACGGTGCCACTGAGCTACATCCCTGGCCCTGTATGTCTTCTTTTAAAAATGGAAAAGGGGCTGGGGATGTAGCTCAGTGGCACCGTACCTGCCTGGCAAGTGCAAGGTCCTGAGTTTGAAAGGGCTCTAACTGCCCTCAATGTCAGAGAACTAGTCACAGGGTCTGTTTTAACCCCTAGAAGTCTCTGTCTGGAAAGTGCTTCTGAAATAAACATGGTAGAATCACAGCACTGGGGGAGACACAGAAGGAATGTGAATCAGGTCAGATGTTCAAATAAATTTCACTGGCTTCTGAGATGAGTTACATGTTTCATTTTCTGTTTAAAAAATGAATTAAGACAAAGAACCCTTAACTGTGGGGCTGGTAGATTAGAACTGCAGCCTCACAACTTTCCTCATAGAGAATTCACAGGTGACTTCAAGGAAGTTAAAAAGTGTTGGGGACCCTCGAACAAGAGTTCCAAAAGCCAGGACACATAGGCTTTATTTTTAGCTTTTTATAAAAATGTAAATGTTTTGTCATTAGATGTGGGATGAATCATTCCATTGTAACATACCATTGGAAGGCTAAACTTTTAGATGTGAAAAAAATGACTCCTTTTTGGAAATTCCTCGGTGACCATTTGCTTCTAACTACATTGTCTCTCTGCCCCATCCCCAATCAGGGTAAGAAAATGTCCGTGTGCACCAACAATGTCACTGACCTCAGGATCTCTGAGGGTGAGTCGGGTTTCTCCAAATCCATCACAGCCTACATCTGCCAGTCCATCATCATCCCCTCAGAGGTGACAGGGTACAAGACCAGGGTATCCTCGCAGCCTGTCAGCCTTGCTGACCGACTTGTTGGTGAGTAACCCAGCTGCTCCAAGCTCATTTGAGTGCGCGCGCGCGCGTGTGTGTGTGTGTGTGTGTGTGTGTGTGTGTGTGTGTGTAAGAAAGTGAGACTGCCAGGCCAGGAAGCCTTTATCAGGAGCCCTACTCCAGATTTCTGTTTCCTGTTCCATCTTGTGAGTCCAGCGCCCCAGGCGCCTTTGATAAACCTTTGGTTTGCTTTTTCATGAGCCATTCAGGGACATGATGAGATGAAGTAAGCTTGGATGTTGACAGGTAGTGGAAGAATTGTAGCAGTTTCTAGCTAACACTACTACTGAGAACTAATTGGGAGCTCTACTTCTGCAGGGATATCAACAGATATGACTCTGGATGGAATCACCTCCCCAGCTGAACTTTTCCCCCCGGAGACCTTGGGGATACCAGACGTGATCTTCTTTTTTAGGTGAAGACGAGAGGCCAGCCTAATGCAAGTGAAACCTAGGACTCTTCCTCAGTTTCTATCAGATCCCTCCCTCTAGCCACATCCCACTATCAAGCTAGAACATGTCTGAGGTCTAGCAGATCTGCTCAGTCATGAGTAAAGGCTGGTTGTTCTCTTATCCCAGCTGCTTGTTTATTACTGGGACAGGTCTGCCCTGGAGGCAGGAGAAATACTAGAAGATCTACACAGACTTCTTTCCCATCTAAGAAAGCCCCACTGTCTACTAGCCTTGCCTCTCCTTGGTCAGTGCTCTTCCTCCTTCACTAGATTGTCCCATCCCTCTCTCCATAAATAGACCAAAGACTGTGTGTCAGGGTCGGGTCCAAGTCCTGACTTGCCCAGAGAGGGAATTATTCCATGTTGACTTCACTTAATGGCTCCCTAATAACACAATGGGGGGATATTTCCCCCCATGGGGCTGGCTTTCTCTGCAGATCCAATGATGTGACCCAGTCCTGCAGTTCTGGAAGATCAGCCACCGTCCGCCTCAGATGCAATCCACTGAAAATTGCTCCTGGAAGCCTGTCACTTCCACGGTAATCCTTACAAAAGGTTGTGGCTAAGGCCATAGTCTTCCTTCACTGGTCTTCTTCCATCTTAAGAGCCAGAGATTACTGAAAAAGGGCAGAACAGACAAATAGTTTGAGGTTCATTAATGGATTCTTGGGAGTAGTGTCACAGCCCCAAATCCTCCATCTTCAGATAGGAAGAATGGGAGCAAAGGAAGAAGCAAAGCTTCCTTCACATCCCCAGACCATTATGGTGGCAGCAGCATAGCATGGTGGCTAACAACCTTGTCTGTCAGCCAGATTTCATCAGCAGCTCCATTTATAGCTATGTTAACATAGATTCAATTCTCATAGTCTCTAGGGTTCTTTTTTTCTTACCTGTGAAGTGGGCATAATATTAAGTTCCCTCAGAGAATTATTGTAAAAGCTAAATGAAACAATGAGACTTTAGGAATTCTCTTGGAGGCTAGAGGCCATTATCAAGATTAGTAAATGTTTAGGGACCCTAGAAATCTCTTAGGATAGAGGCCCAATTATGAGTTTAATAGCTCAGTGCACTAGATCAAGAACTTTCAAATGAATAGACCACAGAATAATGCTCCCTCTTTTAATTCCCACATAATGCCAACTAACACCTTGATGGGCACTGGTACTTTGAGGAGCACAGTTTGGGAAATGCTGCTTGGAAACCAATGATCAGGGAGCTGAGGAACAAAGCAGGGCATCTTGATCCAGCAGTGGTGTCAGAGCATAAAATTACTATTCTTGCCATTGTAAACATCACAGTAAAATGCAAAGCAGACATCCTTCCTGAACTCCACCTTAACTCCAATCCCACCCCCAGGAAGCTGTATCAAAGTGGGTATTGAAAAAGTCACAGGTCCACAGGGAGGACAGGATCCTCTGAGGGGCTGACAGGCAGCCATGCTAAAGCTCCAACACCTACATTAGCTCTCATCTGATGTCAACAAAAAACATAAGCAGGAAGAAAGTCAGGGAAATTGAGTTAAGAACTAGTTGGGAGGATCCTGTGGAACATTTTGGGCAGAGAGAAGATGAATCAGGCAAGCAATAAAAGCAATAAGGCTCTAGCCAGATCTTCCTCCCTTGTCAGGCAAGTGAGCTCTCCTTTCTGCTTTGCTAGCACGTGTTCTGATGGGACCTGTGATGGCTGTAACTTCCACTTCCTGTGGGAGAGCATGGCTGCTTGTCCGCTTTGCTCGGATGCTGACTACCACACTTTCGTCAGCAGCTGTGTGTCTGGGATCCAGGTAGGTTGCCCTCTGATTGGGGACTTCCTAGGAGAGAAAAGGATATGAACTTTGAGTTCCTTGTTTTTCTTCCCAACAGAAGAGCACTTACGTATGGCGAGAACCGAAGATATGCTCTGGTGGCATCTCCCTACCTGAGCAGATTGTCACCCTCTGCAAAACGATAGATTTCTGGCTGGAAATGGGCATCTCTGCAGGCACCTGTAGTGCCATCCTACTCACTGTCCTGACCTGCTACTTTTGGAAAAAGAATCAAAAGTACCTGGTGGGGTATTGGGAGGATGGGTGGGGTTGGATCATTGAACAGGGAGAACATCTGAAAGTAGAAGTTTATGGGGCATTTCTCTGGAGTTGGCCACAGACCCTGTGACTCTGGCTGGAGGCTTGTTGTACCACTTATCCACTGTATGCTCTGGTTATCCTCACTGCTGAGCAGGGATGGCACCATGTGGCAGTGTATAAATGACTGTTACATTCAGAAAATAAAAGAAAAAAAAGAAAAGAATATTCTTCAGCTGGGAGTGTAGTTTTGTGGTAGAGGGCTTGCCTAGCATGCAAGAAACTGGTTCAGTCCCCAGCATCAGAGAGGGAAGGGGGGGAGGGAGAGAGAGAGAGAAAAAGAGATTCCTCCAATCAAGGGTTAGGTTCCTCCAACACTTTGGAGGCTGAGGAGGTGGAAGGATGGAGAGTTCCAGGCCAGTGTAACCATACAGGGCTGTATTGGGATGTAGCTTAGTGGTAGATGTAGCCCAGGGATATAGCTCAGTGGTAGAGCCCTTGTCTAGTCTGTACAGGGCTCCAGGTTCAATCTCCTTCAGAAGGAGGAGGAGAAGTAGGAGAAAGAGGAGCATCAGGAAGAGGAAGAAGAGTTTGTTAGTCAGGCATGGAGACATATGCCTGTAATCCCATTTACTCAGGAGGGTGAGGCAGGAGGACTGCAAGTTCAGGGCCAGTGAGGGCAACACAGCAAGACCTTGTTGCAAAGTAAAAGTTAAAAAGGGGCTTGGGATGTAGCTTAGTGGTGGAGCTCTTACCTAGCACATGTGAGGTCCTGATTCAATTCCCCATACTGAAAAAATAAAATAAAAAATGCAAATAATGACTTTATGATTTCAATACATCCATCAAGTTATGAAATCACAAAAACAGCCAGCCTTAAAGAAAAAAGATCACTGAACTGGCAGCCAAAACTACTCCTGCATGCCCAGCCCTAATACCATTTTGTTATGCTTCAGTTTCCTTACCCACGATGTGGAAGAATCTGTTTATAAACCAGCCTCTCTCTTTTTTTCCTCCTTATTCCCAAATTCTGAGTCTTGTCTTTCCATCCTCATTTCACAGACTTGAATACAAGTACTCCAAATTAGTGATGAATGCTACTCTTAAGGATTGCGACCTCCCAGCAGCTGATAGCTGTGCCATCATGGAAGGTGAAGATGTGGAAGATGATCTCTCCTTTACCAGCAAGAAGTCTTTCTTTGGAAAAATCAAATCACTCACCTCCAAGGTAGGATACTGGAGACCCCAGCAGTTAGGTTCCAGTTTCCTGTCCAGTGTATGACACAGGCCTGAGAAAAAACCTAAAAGACAGAACTAGGAGAGACAGAAAGCAGAGTGTCAGGATGACCAATGCCAGTGCAACCGACCAAGGTGCTGGTTTGTCCAAGCCACTCATTTTTATTAGTAATCAATTGGGGTAAAGATGAGCTGTGTGCAAGGGCAGGAATACATGGCAGGATGCGCAGTTTCTATGGAAAGTAATGTAAGCAAGACTCACAAAGGACAAGACAAAGCATTCTCAAATTAGGAGCAGAATAGACAAAATATATGGTTGTAATTAGAATATTGTCCTTCTAGTTAAGAAGGTTTTAGTTGTGGAAATGGAATTTGGGTGCGAGTTACTCTGACCTCAGCATGTAGGCTTTGGCCAGACTCACTTCTCAAAACAAGCCAATTGTGGGGTTTACCCTTCCCAGCCTGCACTTTTTACAGCCTGCTTTGGGCATAGTCAATATTGTAGTCCCCTGCAGTAGGAGGCCAGTGCACTGAGGTCAGAGTGGAGGGTCTGAGAGATGCAACTCCTAGGACACTGAATGGCCTTGCACTGGTCAGGCACCACTACTCAGCTCCCAGCTCCCCCACTCCTCTATCCCTCACCTGAAATTTCCACCTTCTAGCCTCTGCCTTGTCTGTGTCCCAGTATTCTTTTCCCTGGGCCCTAAGGCTCCTCTCTCCCAACATGCACTCCACTTGGTGGACTGTTTGGGCCTTTTAATTTCCAGAAGGAGTATTGAATCATCCATGTTGTAGTAATCATCTCTACCCTTTTCTTTTTTCTTGGATTGGGGGGGTCATCTCTAGTATTTGACTTCTCATAGAAATGAGGCTGTCTTTTGACCAGTGGAGGGTGCTGTCCCCTAGATGTCTAGGCCAGGTCCTGTGGGAGCTGAGTCATAGCCAGTCTAAGGTGTTCACCATTGAGCAATTCTGAGCCGGGAGAGTTGGCTTCGTGGGTGATGAGTGAGTGTGAAGCTCATAAATGCAATTCAGACACTACTGTCACTGGGCATGGGGCCAGCAGAGAGCGTCCAAACAATTCCTCAGGGCTGCTGCAGCCCCACTGTTAGGACCCACACCTACTACTGCAGGGAACCAGTTCATCCAAACAACTGTGGTGGGGTGTTGGTGCAAGGGAGGGGAAGATATGAGATGTGGTGGAGAGAGGGTGGCTGGTGTTAGGTGTTTAGATTACTGAATCTTGTTCCCTTTGTGCTGGCATGCCAGAGTGACTCCCTTGGCCTTTTTAGACCTTGTTTTGTTTTGTTTTGCCTTTATTTTTTAACCAATGGGATTTCTAGAATTCAGCAAAGATGCTAAGCAAGAAATCTTTAAGATTTTTCTTATTTTCTGACTGAACCTGAAGGGAGCAAGAAGAACGGGGGTGTCTCATTTCTGTGTTTTCACAAAGCCACTGGAAACAGGCGATTCCACAAGGGTTCCTTCTGTCACCTATTTTCCATTTCTCCTCTTTGTCCCCCAACCCCCTTCCCCACCTGGTGCAGCAGACAGCTCCTGTCACCATCTCTCTTTCAGAGGACTCCTGACGGGTTTGACTCAGTGCCACTGAAGACCTCCTCAGGAGGCCCAGACATGGACATGTGAGAGGCACCGTCTGCCTCACCCGCCTCCTCACCTTGGTGTATCGCTTTGCACGCCTGTGGCAATTTGGGTGCCAGCATCCTGCAATATCCACTGCTGGAAATCTCTTCATTGTGGCCTTATCAGAAGAAGTTTGAAATTCAGACCTTTGTTTTATTATAGAGTACCCAAACCTCCTTTTTTGCTTGCCTCAAACCTACCAAATATACCCATACTTTGTATATTATTCCCTTGCTTGCATCTTGTTTCCTAAAATGGTCCAACCACCAGAGCCATAGCCTCCTCTGGCATAATTCATATAGCTCTGGGGTGAAAATATTTCTCTCTTAAGTATAAAAGCAACTCACTGAAGGGCAGGAACAGCTGGGAGTTTTCCTAGTCATATTCCCTAAGCTCGAGATCTCTTCAGAGGATAGACTGGGTGAGTGGGAGGTGGGGGTTCTTGGACAGATGATCTTCATGGGAGCCTGGATTCACTTCCCCTGGATAGCCCACTCAAATTGAGGGCAATGGACAGTCACAGGGCAAGCTGAGGAAAGCCTGGGAAAGAAGAGGCTTGATAAGCACAAAGGCAGGCAAGAAAGAGGGGGTTTATGTTTTGCTTTATAACCAGGTACCTCATTTTGTTCTCTTGAGTAAGTAATAAATATATCCTTACTAAAGCCAAAGGACAATGTTTATCGAGAAAATGCCAAAGTCCTGGTGGATCTATTCTCTCATTTATTTATTTATTTACTTACTTACTTATTTACTTATTTTTATCTCCCTATAACACTAAAAACACAAGAGGCCAAGGTTTTAATGGGACTGTACTGGGGCTCCAGCCCACAGTGGCACAGACCTGAGGCAGTCATATCTGCTTCTGAGCTCAACCTATCTGCTCAGCTACAAAATTAATAACTTCTAGGCTGGCCATAAAAGGAATTGAAACCCAAACCCATACCCCAGCAGCAGAACCAGATCTGTCTTCCAGGAGGCAAGACTAAGGGAGTTTAACAAGGCGTTCACCAAACTGGGGTGCTTCTCACTTCTAAGCTCCTGTGCTTCCGTTTTACGTGTTCTCATTTCCTTCATGCACTAAAAACTACAAAGAGTTCTGGCCCTCGTTTCTGGCAACGTGCCCTTTGAAAAGTGAATAGAACGGGTGTCCTCTACACCCCTTTTTCCTTTTCATTCTAACTATAACTTGTAAACTTGAAGTATTTGGAATGGTAAAACCGCAGCAAGACTTTCAGTTACTTTTTTCTTTCTACTTTTTTTTTTTTGGTACCAGTGATCGAACTTAGGACCTTGTGCTTGCGAGGCAGGCAGCAGAACCACTGAACTAAATCCCCGGCCTTAATTTTTTTCTTTCTACTACTGACAAGTCTCCTTCCCTTATCAGGCTAGAATAACCAGTCCCAGTTGCCCATGGTTTGTACCTGTGCCCCTTTTCCATTGACCATCTGGTCAGAATAGAATGGAGAGGCATTTCTGAGCAGTTTGTCTGCCAACAAAGTAGTTTGCTCATCTGATTATCTGTCATTGCCCTGGCAATGACCTTATAAAAGTCAGTGAGAAGAGGAGCCCTATTATAACTTCTGGACATCAAGATCACCAATGGCAGGAGGTCGCCTTGGCTCAACAAATCTAGATGCTTTTTTTAAAAAGTTTTTGAGACAGGATCTCACTGTGTAGTCCAGGCTGGTCTTGAACTCAGTATGTAGTCCAGGCTGATCTCGAACTCGTGGCAATCCTCCTCCCGAAACCTCCCAAGTGCTGGGGTTATAGGTGTGCACCACCATTCCCGAATGGATGCTTTTCTTGGGTAACCAGATCTCCCCTCTTTTGTGGTAACTGGGTTCTCAGAACTGGTGGCTATGCTGGAATTACCCCTGGTGGTTGCACACATGTACACATGTAGCCCTGAACTCCAGCCTACACTTCTGCAGCCTCCACAACACCGGGGCATCTACTTCCTGCTAAACAGCTGCCTTTTGTGACAAAGGCCACAGAAGGTCCTTAGATTATTCTAGAAAAAGTTTATCCCTCTAATTTTTTTATTCTGCTATCTTGAAACTGAATGTCCCCTGAACAACCTGAAACTTCCCTGATTTAGTTTAGTGCTTTAAAGATCTCCTTTCTATTGAGCTGATTTCTCAGGGAAGGGGGTCACCCTTTGTTCCTTTAGAAAATTGTATGCTTTAGATTTTTAGGAGCTTTATTGAGCTATAATTCATACCATACAATTTTCCCCTTTAAAATATGTAATTCAATGACTCATAGTACACCCTCATTTTTGTTGTTGTTATTCATTCTATGCTTGCTAGGCAAGTGCTCTACCACTGAGCTATACCCCTATCCCATTTTAGAACAGACACATGTTAGATCTGCTATAGGAGAAAGGCTTTAGCTCTTGACCCAGAGCTACAGTAGTTTGTACAAGTGATTGAGGAAGACAGTCTAGGATCAAGAGATAAAATATTTAAATCTCATTTGGTTACCTAGAGTCCTAGGACACATAAGCAACTTTCATTCTGTAGTCAACACCTATATTTACCTGGGAATACAAATGAAGATTGTGATGTATTCAAGGACCAGAGGATTTCTTATGCCAACAAAACACTTTTTTTTGGTCTGACTCTATATTAAAGATAAGATGGACTATATTTGTAACAATAGACTTTGTAACAGATTTTTCAGTTTTGTGAAATCAGTTTTTTTCTCATCAGGACTGGTTGGATTTCCTTTTTATTCTGTATTCTAAACATGTATAGTTTATTAAGGGGTGGGTTATTAGCATGTCACCTTTTGGGGGGTATGAAATAAAAATGTACCTTTTGAGTCATTTTTCTTGAACATAGTGGGGTGGCTGGATGGGTGGGTGGGGATGTTAAGTGTCCTTAAAGCCTGAAAGGAAGAGAAGAAGGAGGCAGAGAAAAGAACAACAGACTTCAGAGAACACGGACCCAAGAGAGAAGTCTCTTGCCACCTGTTGACTGAGAAGTCAGTCAGTAAACAAAGCCTCAGTTTCCACAATAATAAAATGCATCTGATGACCCTGAGATTGGGTGAGGGGCAAACAAAGGAACACACAAAGCACTTAGCATGCTTGCTCACTTCCCTCTCAGTGTACACTTCTCTCGTGACATGAAGCCAGTCACACAGTAACACATCCACAAATACAAGTACAATTTGCTTCTTGGGGCAGGAAGTGGATTATTACAGATTAGGTGTAAAGAAAATCCTAGAGGATACCAGGGATCTGCTACTTCCCAAGGTTGCTGGATTGTCTTGCTTCAATATTTTCCTTCAAACTGAGGGCACTTGTCTTCTAAAAATAATTCTCTCGGCTGGTGTGTTTGGGCCTTTTAAGGGTGAATAACACCTAGCACCAGGTTGTCTACATGAGAGTCTGTGGGTAATTTTAGCCTCCAGACCGCTCCTCCTCCAGTCCCACCCACTTCTGTAGTCAACCCTCTCTTCTCCAGCCAGAGTCCTTAACACAGATCTGACGGCATTCAAATGTGCAAGAGTCTCTGACAGTTTGTTATTGGTGGCAGCCAGGACTAGGCATTAGCAGGGTACATACTCATCTGTACTCCAAGGGTGTTGTTTATAACACACATCTACTTTAACTGAATGATACCTGAGTTGTACTAGAGGGTTAATATTCTGAATATCTCCCCTGCTTATAGGATAAAGTCCAAATTCTAAAAAGGAAAGTAGAAAAGAAAATGCATCCATTTGGCGCCTGTATGTCAAGTCTAGTCACACAGTTCTCAGGACATCCTATGCAGGCACTGTCCCCATTATAACAGAGAAAGAAATTCTGGTAATGTGGTCCATCCCATCTGTTCTATCCCACATTACTTAGACTTCAATCACGCTCCCTGCCTAAGCACATGCTCCCTACTCTGCCTCTGCCCCTCTGTTATGCTTTGGGTCTAGATGTCCCTCCAAAGCCTCACGTGGTGATAGGGTTGATCCAGAGTGTGAAGCTGGAACTGATCCATGATGATGCAATGCTAGGTTCAAGGCCACTAGGATTAAGGGTGTGAGTGCTACCCACCCTGAGTAGTCTGGATAAGATAAAAGGGGCAGGGAGACACTGTTAAATCCCTCTTGTTACCTTTGCTCCCTTGTGTGTCCCATGTTGTTTTTGTTCTGCCGTGCCTGTTTGTCATCTCTGCCCTTGGAGTCAGCCAGTTATGGACTAAAACTTCTATGATCTGTAAGCCAAATATACCCCTTCCCCTCCAACTTTGGGTGTCAGGTATTTTGCCTCAACAATGAGAGAAAAATAACTAACACACCCTCCCTTCCCTTCCTCTTCCCTGCCAGATCCCACTCAGCCTTCCCTGGCTCACCCACAGGGAATGCAATAGAGAAATCTTAATCACATAGGAATTCTGTTGTTAATTTTCATTAATTCAATTATATTTCGGGCAGTATCCGAATACAACAAGCCACAGACATAATCATGCTTGAAATGAACAGGGTGAGGTGGAAATGTGTAATTTTAAAGGTTTCATAATCACTGATTTAGGAGGGGCAGCTGGGTGTAATGGTACATGCTTGTCTGTAATCCCAGCCCTCTGGGAAGCTGATGCGGGAAAATCACAAGTTTAAGTCCAGTAAGAGCAACTTGGTGATTTAATGAGACCCTGCCTCAAAATTAAAAATATAAAAAAGTGCTGGAGATGTAGCTCAGTGCTGAGGCCCAGGCCAGGGTTCATACCCCAGTAAAAGAAGGGGTGGCCAGGCCAAAAAGGCACTTTAAATATCATAATTTGGTCTAGAGCTGGGAATGTAGCTCAGGTACATTCAAGGTAGACCACTTGCCAAGCCCTGTGTTTGATCCCCAGTACTGGAAGAAAAAAAGACCATAATTTGGTCTAAACTTTAAGAAGAAATTTAATTAACTAAACAATGACTACTGAAAAGAAACTGATGTTGGGTGGCAATATAAAACATTTCTTTTTGTTTGTACTAGGGATTGAACTCAGGGCCTTCACACTGAGCTACATCCTCATCCCTTTTCTATTTTTTATTTTGAAACAGGGTCTTGCTAAGCCACTAAGTTGGCCAGGCTGAAGTCAAACTTGTGATCCTTCTGTCTCAGCCTTCCAGAGCGGTGTGATTACAGGACACCTATGCTTGGCTCAGAATACAAAATTTAATGAATAATTTAAGAACTAGTCAATAATTGGAAAGTACACTACTCTCCTCTTACTGCTGAAGTTA